CGCCGAAGTTCTCGCTGTCGGCCGCAGTCCAGGCGGACGCCGATGTCGCCGATCAGGCCTATGACTACGAGTCAATGGGCGCGTATGTATAGCACACATGTATAGTACGTATAGACTCCTTATGTATCATATATTTTACGGTATGTCCAGTAATCTAGACTACGTGTCAATTATGACCTACGACGAGGCCGGTGCCTATGAAGGCCATACCGGCCACCACTCCAAGTACACGTGGTGTATATCCGCGACGGAAAGGTACCACTCGAAAGGTATTCCCAAAGAGAAGTGCCTGATGGGAGTGCCCTTCTATGGACATACATTCAAATTGCAGGACAAGAATAAGCATGGTATCGGTGCTCCCATTGCCGGTGAGGGAAAGACACCTCATGGAGAGGGAGACAATGCGTGGTATTCAGAGATGTGTGATTTGGTTAAGAATAAGGGCTGGACTAAGGAGGACCCTGACCAGGGTCATGACCCTATTTCCTATCACGATCTCACCTGGGTCGGTTATGATGATCCCTACGCTGCCTATGAGTAAGTATACATGTAAAAATTACGCAAAAAAATCAGATTTCTTGATGTTTTATAAGAATTTATAAAGTATTCAGATATTTACTCATTAGTGAAAGTTATGGTTAGTAAAATTACAGTTTATAAAATAATTTAACTTATAAACCCAAAATATTTTATGTAGTTATTATATTTTAATTTGCTGTACAGTACTGTATAATTGCTGCATGTGTGTTTTAATTTAATATTTTCTAAAGTTATTTAAGAAAATATATTTAAATTTATAATTCAATTCTTATAAATTAAGGTCAATTAGAATATTTTATACCATGATCAATCGGTGAACGAAATTAATATTTATTTTTAAAATATAAAATACTTTTCTCCGTAAACCCTACATTATAATAGTTGCATGCTTATTTAGAAAACACAATTATTAATATCAAAATTACAGTTTTTATTAAGCTACATAGTTTCAGGGTCTTAACTAGTTTCATAACTATTAATCTAATTTTAATTGCTATCATAAACAGTAAAAGTAAATGGGTGAAAGACAATGGTTACGGTGGCATTATCGTATGGGAGATCACACAGGACGATTTTGAACCCAAGTGCTGCTCTAAGAGCTACCCTATGTTAAGGGCTATAAACCATGGTTTGTTTGGCACCGGTAGTGCGCCCGACACTTATGGCTGTGAACACAAATAAAATATATAACCTTTATTACTAGTATTGCATTAATAAATTAATCATATTAAAATATATCTGGTTTGATTTATATTTTTATTAGTTAATAAATTAATAACTACACAAACTTTGCGAGAGCAAAAATATCCTGCACACAAATATTTATCATTTTTATATAACATGTAATTAAGCTTCATGTGCTCCCAACCAGTACAGTTAATCAGAAATTTGAACAATGATAATTACTGAAATTTGAGCAATTTTTTAATATCTCTAAATTATTGAGCACTCGTATCCTATTTATAATTTAAAGTACAATTAAATTGTGTACTCAAGGTTTGATGTAAGATAATAGTTCGGTCTATAGAAAAAATGTGCTAGATCTTATCAAGCCTAATTGATAACGAGTAATTAAAAAAATAAAATGATATTTATTGTGAAATGGTTACGTATATCTAAAATGTTTCAATTGATTTTATTTCAAATTTAATAAGTCCATACATATTATGAGCATAAAATTATCAGGATAACAAATACTACTCTATATAACTTAATAAATTTATCAAACACATTATACGCTCGGGTATTTAGACACCTGTTTGATTAGCAACTCATTAATTTATTATAAAAATCACAAACAAAACAAAATCTCAAATAATTATTCCCATAAATAAGTTATAATCACCCCTACCTACATAATGAAAGTATTGCTTGTAACGGCACTGGTATGCCTACAGGTGCTGTCAGCGGTGGCCAAGCCTAAGGTGATATGCTACTGGCCCAACTGGCGCATGGACTCGGGCGGGGACGACAAGCACACCCCCGAAAACATCGACCCAACCCTTTGCACTCATATTCATCACGCGTTTCACGTGTTAGACCAACAGCACAATGTTGTTAAGGATAGTGCCGGCCCTCAGCCCGATGTCTACCGGCGCTTGAATGACCTGAAAAAGCGTAACCCAGACGTCAAGATCATTGTGTCGATGGGAGGGTGGGGTGCGCCGGACAACCAGTACTCCCAATTGGTGGGCAACGAGGGTCTGAGGCAGGGGTTCATTAAGAATACGATCGCGTATTTGCATCAATACAAGTTTGACGGATTGGATATTGACTGGGAGTTCCCCGTGTGTTGGCAGGCTGATTGTAGTAAGGGCCCTAAAAGTGACAAGGCTAATTATGCTAAGTTTTTGCAAGTAAGTTAACATATAATATTTTTTTAGATGTTTAACTTATAAATATTTTTAGTTATTTGAGAAACTGTAAATTAAAATATGTCCAATAATTTATCATGATAGTTGTGTTTATTAATTAAATTTTTGGTTGTGGAGGGAATCATGATTGTATATAATTGTTTATCAGATTTAAAGTTATTTTACATATTTAATATTAATTTATAAACTTAATTCATGCCACTTACTAGTATATAATATTGTAAATTATCCAGTTTTTGATTCCCGTTCAACTAATTTACATGTAATATACTGACATTATATTTGAATAGCAACTATCTAATTTACAGTTTGTCACACGTAACATTCCTTTTATTTAAGATTAAAAACAATTTTAAATAATTATAAAAATTAATAATTAAAACAGGAATTGAGGGCCGCTTTCGATAAGGAGAACCCGAGGCTATCCTTATCGGCAGCCCTGGGC